TAAGGACAACTAACTTGTATCTGCATGCCTGTCTCTGGTCATTGGCCATTGTTTCACAGAGTAATCATTATGGCAGTCTTCAGTCTACAAGTCTACTTTACCAGCATTCAAACCATCTTTATCTCCGGTGACGTACCTGCCAGAAGACAGTGGAAGAAAGAAAGGGTCTGGTTTGGCAGCAGAAGACCCACAACCTGCAGAGAGGAAAAGACGGAGTTAGAATTGGGTTGTCGGTATGATTGGGTCACACATGAGGAATATGGAAGGTTGTTGTTTCCCTTGTGTGGCTAGTGAACCTTCTCCAGTAAACGTTTTTACTGAAGAACAGCTGATGATTTCCCTCTTATGGTATCTTCTCCATAAAAATACATACCTATATCATGGTGGCTCAGTAGATTCTCAGTCTACCCTTTGAGCATCCTGGGTTAAAAGTAGGTCTAGTTGATAATTACATGTTGGTTTTGGATGGACCCCAAAGTCTTGACTCACCCACCAAATTGGTGATGTTTCACACAATAGTGCGTCTCTCCATCTCCACACCCAAGACAGTGTCAGTAAGATAGCGGTTACTATTGAGCCTTTAGCACAGTCTCTAGACAGCCTAAAGCTGGCCATACATGGATGTTTTTTTTATCACCAGCTGGTTGGCTAATCAAAGAAACCCCAAACAAACCCATTTCCCCATCCACACATTCGAGGTGGATGGGGGAATCCTCCCCCATGCTGCACTACTGTATTTTGGCAGCGAGACTCCTCCATTGCCAGAATACACTGATCAACGCTGCAACCAATTGGCTTCAGGAGCTGATTGGGCACACATATACTAACAGTCCCATTCAGGAAAAGTTGTTCACTAGGTTAACTCCTCTCGAAGAAAAAGAGCTATACATGGATTAAAATTTGGCTGGTTCCTGCTGAACTGGTGGAATTTTGAACCATGTATGGCCAACTTAGGTCACATGGTTTAAAGCTACCAGGTGCACTGTGTGTGATACATGTCCTTAGAGACTGCAAAGAGGGTTTTGTCCCTATTAGACCTACATTGAGATGAAAAGATCAGCCAGACGCAGTCAACGTGCAGGACTAGCAAACAGCAGCAGATCCCACATATGTAATGAGCAAATCTATCTGCCCCTCTATGTACACATGATTATAAATTTACACAAATACATGGTTCCTAGTACAATGCTGTACATGGAAACAATCATTTAAATCAGGGATCTCCAAACTTTCTAAACAAAGGGCCAGTTTACTGTTCTTTAGACTTTAGGAGGGCTGGACTGTGGCCATTGGGAGTAGCAATGTCCCAGCAGAGTAAACAATGGCCATTGTTGGTGTCAGTGAGAGGAATTGTGCTCCATCGTTGGTGTCATTGGCAGGAATTATGCCCCATTGTTTGTGTCATTGGGAGGATTTGTGCCCCATCATTGATATCGTTGGGCCCTATTGTTGGTGTCATTTAGAGGAATTGTTCCCCATCTTTGGTGTCATTGGCAGGAATGATGCCCCAATATTTGTGTCATTTGGAGGATTTATGCCCCATCATTGATATCGTTGGGCCCTATTGTTGGTGTCATTTAGAGGAATTGTTCCCTATCTTTGGTGTCATTGGCAGGAATTATGCCCCATTGTTTGTGTCATTGGGAGGATTTGTGCCCCATCATTGATATCGTTGGGCCCTATTGTTGGTGTCATTTAGAGGAATTGTTCCCTATCTTTGGTGTCATTGGCAGGAATTATGCCCCATTGTTTGTGTCATTGGGAGGATTTGTGCCCCATCATTGATATCGTTGGGCCCTATTGTTGGTGTCATTTAGAGGAATTGTTCCCTATCTTTGGTGTCATTGGCAGGAATTATGCCCCATTGTTTGTGTCATTGGGAGGATTTGTGCCCCATCATTGATATCGTTGGGCCCTATTGTTGGTGTCATTTAGAGGAATTATTCCCTATCTTTGGTGTCATTGGCAGGAATTATGCCCCATTGTTTGTGTCATTGGGAGGATTTGTGCCCCATCATTGATATCGTTGGGCCCTATTGTTGGTGTCATTTAGAGGAATTGTTCCCTATCTTTGGTGTCATTGGCAGGAATTATGCCCCATTGTTTGTGTCATTGGGAGGATTTGTGCCCCATCATTGATATCGTTGGGCCCTATTGTTGGTGTCATTGAGAGGAATTGTTCCCCATTGTTGGTATCATTGGGAGGAATTGTTTCCCATCGTTGGTGTCATTGGGAGGAATCATGTCCAATTGCTGTAGTTAGTGGTAGTGGATGAAATAGGGCCAGATAAAAGCAAGCAAAGGGCCACAGCTGGCTCCTGGGCAGCAGCTTGGAGACCACTGATTTACATTAACCTAAAATTGTTTATATCCTTAAAGAATAAAAAGTTCCTACTAATTTTGTGTCTAATTTTTAGTTTTGCATACTTTTAAAGGAGGACCACAGTGCTGAACTGCTGTAAACCCTGGTGTGGCCAGAACAAGCTCTTTGCCCCTTGTCTGCTCCAGTGAGGGGGAAGATAAATTCACACCTCTGCTAGTATGACTGACAACTAAAAGAGTTGGAGGTAGCCCCCATTGAAGAGAAGATAAATGCACTGATGTCCATGACCCCAGAACCAGCATGAGCTGTCAAAGAAGGCAACTTCCACTGCACACAGATAGCACATCACCACCACCACTGGGGCAGATGGTGGAATCAATGGGGGAATAGTCTGCCCCAAACCACTCATGTACTCTTGATGTCTCAGTGCAGACCAGTTCTCTAAACCTCCTTCTATCATCCTTCCCACCCAGCCCCGGTGTCCCTTTAACAGGATCTTTAGGCTACATGTACACTGGAACTGCCATAGACATTAACTCTACTGGCAGCAGAAAAACGCTAAACGCAGCAAAAAAAAACGTGTGTAAATGTGGTACAGCGTTTCCTGCGTTTAGCGCTTGTACGTTTATTCATTTCAATGGTCAGAGTACTTGCCACTGACATTAATAAATGCCCAAAGCTCTAAATGTGGCTAGTGCTTAGGCACGTTTACAAGCATTTTTATCTGCAATTGGCTTTTTTTTGGCCAAAACATTTCTCTGCTGAATGTGACTCTTCTGTGTTCAGGAGATGGACGTTTAACTCCCCCTAAACTCTGCTGCTGCTGCTAAACTCTGATAAAAGTCTATGTGCGCATGGACACCTAGGCCTTCATTGGGTTCAGGGGCTTAGGCAAAAATGTTTTTGGAGTAGCAGTGTACATGAGGCCTTACATCCGGGAGGCAAGGAGGACCAGAGATTGGCTGTCCCAGTTGTCACATGATTAGGGACTGATCCTGCCAAGACCCAACCATTTGTAGAGATCGTGGGCTGTCTGATAGCTTGGGTACTGTGCTGGGAGCATACACTGAGCACGCTCTCAGCAAGCAAAGCTCCGCTGTCGCTGGATGCCTGTGAAGCATGTGAGTGTTAAAGCCCATCCTAAATAATAATAGTGCAGCGCTGTTAATGTGAGATAAAATAAAATAAAAAGTTCATGAAAGTCCTTTATACAATGAAAGGTGATTGCAAGCGAAAATCTTGTGAAGACCTCCTCAGCATTAGATAGATGACTGGAAACAAATAGACAAAATGCGCACTCACCGACCGCGCATTTTAAATGCGCATGTATGCAGTTTTATCCAGATAATCAGCTAGGTATATGGATCACCCAAACGCATCCCTCTCAGGAAAAAGACATCCGCCTTGGGTGCAGTAATGTGCCTCTAGGTCCAAAGCTCCGGAGCGCACCGTTCTGAAGGTACGACGCATGCGCCGTGCTAAGTGTTGCAGCAGTCCGTGCAGGTTAGTGCGGTGGAGTTCACTTCAGCGTGTGCTGTGTCCAGTGCAAACAGAAGCAGTGGGAGTTCTATGGTGGCTCTGATAGAATGCGAAGTAACGCTGCTGGACAGCAACACTCTTCTTTGTCTTGTGCTTCATATCTAATGGAGAGGTTGGAGGGTTCCAGATTCACAGCAGCCAATTCCTAGGGTACCTTGTTACCAGGAGAGAGATCCCAATCTATCGCAAACACTTTGGGCAAGGAGGTTCTTTGGACCTAGAGGCATATTACTGCACCCAAGGCGGATGTCTTTTTCCTGAGAGGGATGCGTTTGGCTGATCCATATACCTGGCTGATTATATCTGGATAAAACTGCATACATGCGCATTTAAAATGCGCGGTCAGTGAGTGCGCATTTTGTCTATTTGTTTCCAGTCATCTATCTAATGCTGAGGAGGTCTTCACAAGATTTTCGCTTGCAATCACCTTTCATTGTATAAAGGACTTTCATGAACTTTTTATTTTATTTTATCTCACATTAACAGCGCTGCACTATTATTATTTATTATTCATGTTATGAGGTCCAGTGATTCCTTAGCGTGTCCTAGCAGCTGACTTTTTGAGTGCTCGCTTTACCTATATTCTACTGTTAAAGCCCATCCTATTCGCTGCCGCACACTATGCGTTATGTAGGTGGCAAGAGGTTAACCCCCCTAGCGGTATGATTATTTCAGATTTTTTGTGCTGAAAGGTTATGGGTACCATTATTTTGCATGGAAATATGTATTTTTTTTATTGTAGGTCTGTAATTTTTAGGAATAACTCACTGAAATCTGTCCGAACAAGAGTCTAGTAAACATCCCGGGTATGATAAAAAACTAGAAACACAAAATCATAAATTATAATTTAATAAATAATCATAAAAAAATAATAATATATTAATAATTAATTTAATTCAATAATATAATCAAACAAAAAAACACTGAAATTTGAAATAGAGCGCCAAGTTCACACATCGCTGAGCAAAGTCGCAGAATCGTTTTCAGTGTCTGATGACGAATTTCCCCCACGAATCATTATCACTCAATTCTGCAAGTGGTTCTGATTTACTATCGCTGTTCTCTAGCCGGTCTAAAACCGCTTTTGACCTAAAGGGACGCTTTTTGGACGCCATGGACTTTTCTAAGTTTCCAGGCAGAAAGAACAGTAAAAATGCAGACAGGGCACAGGACAAAGCACCCGGGACAAAATGTATGTGAAATGTTTTGATACAGGAATGTTTTACTATGTAATCATTTTTTTAAAAAATGACATTTTTAAAAAAATTTCAAATTTGCCGCCGGCTCCGGCGCCCGTACGCCCTGACGTCACAGGGACCGGAACACGGAAGCTGGATGCCGGCATCGGCTGGAGGAGATGACCGGGGACACTGCAGGGGACACATCGCGGGAGCGAAGGACAAGGTAAGTGCTGCAGGGAATCCCTGAGCAACGCCGCATGGTAAGCCCGAGTGTAGCTCGGGGGGGTTACTGCTTTTGGTACAGAAACTTTACCCCGAGCTACACTCGGGAATACCGCCAGGGAGGTTAAAGCACGTCTAAACACAAAAATAGAAAATATTGCAACATTTATTAGTTCTAAGGCTCCATGCACACTAGCAATTTTTTTTTAGCTCAAAAAAATGCTGGAAAAAAAAAAAACACTGGTAATAGCGTTTCTTAGTAGCGTTTTTGTAGCATTTAGGCGTGTTAGCGCTTTATTAGCGTTTTTACAGTACATGTAGAAAAAAAAAAAATTAACAGCTCGAAAAAAAATTTAGGAACGTTTAGAAGAGTTTAGCATTTTTTTTCCTGCTGGAAAAATGCTCCAAAAAACTCTACAAAAACATTATTTTTTTCTGCTCCTAGAGGCTGAAGCTCAAAAAATCACTAATAGCCTAAAGCAGGACTTGAAAATCCCACTCGCCCACTTGCCAAATGCGAGGGGAAACTCCTTTCTGGCGAGAACAGTAATGCCCTACACATTTATTGATGGAGCGGGTGGCTTGCAATGACATCCCCATGCCTCGGAGAACGATTTGCATTCCACTTGTGTTCCAAGCCTCGTTTTGAAGTAGACTTCTGGTTTCCGACTTCTTCTTCGGCACCGCCATTATACTGGCAGCGCCGCTGAGGGGACAGGTGCAGGAGAGGTCCGCTATCCTCCGCTGAGGGAGACACGAGGAAAGGCCCGCTCTCCACCGCCACGGGGGACACAGGAAGAGGCCCGCTCTCCACCGCCGTGGGGGACACGTGAAGGAGAGACCCGCCAACGGTGCTATGTTATAATTGCTGTTTTTTTATTTTTTGGACTCTTTATTCTAAAGAAAAATATAATTTCATAAGCTTTAAGGGGGTGTGGTTGGGGGCGGGGCTGGGGCACAGGCCTGGGGTGGGGTTGGAGGCGGACCTGGGCAAGATTTGGTGGGGAAACTGGTGGAGAGCAAGGTTTTTGCCTGTCTAGTAGGTCTAGACTTGAAATTTTAAGCCCTGGCCTAAAGTAGTGTGCATGGACACATAGGAGAACACTATCTAGCTTCTAGGAGCAGAAAAAAAAAATGCTATTAACAGCTTCTAGGAGCTTAAGAAAACACTAGTGTGCATGGAGCCTTAGATGTGGTGGTTGCATTAGTTTACTTTTTTCCCTTTATTTTTACCTGGTGATCTTGCCAGTCTCACAATTTATTTCCTATGGTGACAACACCTACCCACTGTGCAGGATCTATAGAGAAGCAGCGTTGTCACCCTAGGCTGCTCTCCTGATCTGAACTATGAACACTTCTCAGGGGCGGACTGACCATTTGGAAACTCGGGCACTGCCCGAGGGCCCGGGGTCTTTAGGGGGCCCCATGAGATGCCCCTGGTACCTTTTTCATAGGCTTTTTTGAGTTTGGGCAAAGACACAGAGGCCCCATGATCCCCTATTGCCCGGGGGCCCCATGAGTTGTCAGTCCGCCCTGCTGTCATATACATGATCTAGAAAGGAGGCGTTTTGTAGTTCTGAAGCTGAGAAGAATAGTTGATTGTTTCATACAGTTCAGTCTACAGGACGTTACAAGGGCAATAGAACTCTTGCAGGATCAACAGCTTCTGTACTTAATTGTACCCAGACCGATAAGAGAAAACCAATGCAGCCACCACATCTAAGGATTGGTAAGAGGCAATATATTACATTCCTGGTTTTGGCTTTAGATAAACCTTAGAGTGGACCTTGACCCCCCAAAAAGAAAAAAAATTACAGTATGTACATCACTACAAGCCCACCCATAAACACCCTTTTTATTGAATATATTTTTTTCTATTTCCAGGTTTTCTTGGAAGGCACCGGTGACATAGCCAGTGAACCCTGGGAGGGCCACATCACAAGTGCCTTCCAGGGAAATGTCACAGGATCTTGTGCATGCACCCTACATGATGTGGGGCGGCTTGTTATTTTTCAGTATATTTAAGATATTTTAGTATATTTAAGATTGTTTCATAGAGTTCAGTCTACAGGAAGTTACAAGGGCAGGATCAACAGCTTCTGTACTTGCAGAAAACATACTCAGCCCGATAACAGAAAACCAATGCAGCCACCACACCTAAGGATTGGTAAGAGGCAATATATTACATTCCTGGTTTTTGCTTTAGATAAACCTTCGAGTGGACCTTAATCCCTCAAAAAAGAAAACAAATGATAGTACATGCATCACTACAAGCCCACCCATAAACGCTCTTTTTATTGAACATATTTTTTTCTGTTTCCAGGTTTTCCTGGAAGGCACCGGTGACATAGCCAGATGGAGACTGGGAGGGCCACATCACAAGTGCCTTCCAGGGAAAGGTCACCGGATCTTCTGCATGCACCCTACATGATGTGGGGCGGCTTGTTATTTTTTAAAGATATTTTAGTATATTTAATCAGTGGCGTCCCAAGGCAGGTGAGGGGGGTGCACGCCGCACCGGGTGACACCTACCACACGGGGTGACACCGGACCCGATCCACGAAAAGGTAAGTTGTAAAGCAAGCCGACGATCCCCGCAGGATGGATCCGATCCATCCTGCGGGGTTCATCGGCTTTCTTTACAACTTACCTTTCATGGAGCGGGTCCAGTGTCACCCCCTTTAGGTTGCATGCCGACGATCCCTGCAGGATGGATCGGATATGCGCATTGGGGAGCATAATGGATCGGACTCTGATCCATTATGCTCAATCCGCAGATCTGATCCATTCTGCGGGGCTCGTCGGAGGGGGTGTCATCAAGTGTTATCGCACCGAGTGACACCAACCCTAGAGACACCTCTGTATTTAAGATTGTTTCATCCAGTTCAGTCTACAGGAAGTTCCAAGGGTGATAGAATTCTTGCAGGATCAACAGCTTCTGTACTTGCAGAAAACATACTCAGCCGATAACATAAAACCAATGCAGCCACCACACCTAAGGATTGGTAAGAGGCAATATATTACATTCCTGGTTTTGGCTTTAGATAAACGTCAGAGTGGACCTTAACCCCACAAAAAAGAAAAAAAAATGATAGTACGTGCATCACTACAAGCCCAGCAATAAACGTTCTTTTTATTGAATATATTTTTTTCTATTTCCAGGTTTTCCTGGAAGGCACCGGTGACATAGCCAGGTGAATCCTGAGAAGGCCACATCACAAGTTCCTTCCAGGGAAATTTCACCGGATCTTCTGCATGCACCCTACATGATGTGGGGCGGCTTGTTATTTTTCAGTATATTTAAGATGGTTTCATAGAGTTCAGTCTACAGGAAGTCACAAGGGCGACAGAATTCTTACAGGATCAACAGCTTCTGTACTTGCAGAAAACATACTCAGCCCGATAACAGAAAACCAATGCAGCCACCACACCTAAGGATTGGTAAGAGGCAATATATTATATTCCTGGTTTGGCTTTAGATACGTTCTTAGAGTGGACCTTGACACCCCAAAAAGAAAAAAATTACAGTATGTACATCACTACAAGCCCACCCATAAACACTCTTTTTATTGAACATATTGTTTTCTATTTCCAGGTTTCCCTGGAAGGCACCGGTGACATAGCCAGGTGAACCCTGGGAGGGCCACATCACAAGTGCCTCCTAAGGAAACTTCACCGGATCTTCTGCATGTACCCTACATGGTGTGGGGTGGTTTGTAATTTTTTAGTATATTTAAGATATTTTAGTAAATTTAAGATTGTTTTATCCAATTCAGTCTACAGGAAGTGACAAGGGTGATAGAACTCTTGCAGGATCAACAGCTTCTGTACTTAAATGTACCCAGACCGATAACAGAAAACCAATGCAGCCACCACACCTAAGGATTAGTAAGAGGCAATATATTACATTCCTGGTTTGGCTTTAGATAAGTTCTTAGAGTGGACCTTGACCCCCCAAAAAAGAACAAAATGATAGTACGTGCATCACTACAAGCCCACCCATAAACGCCCTTTTTATTGAACATTTTTTTTCTATTTCCAGGGAAATTTCATCGGATCTTCTGCATGCACCCTACATGATGTGGGGTGGCTTATTATTTTTTAGTTACAAGCCGCCCGATCCTGTACAGTGCATGTGTGATGTCATCAATGGGCCAGCCAGTTATAAGAAAGAAGAAGCCAGCCACCAATGTCTTCTGTTAAAAACAATGGCGTAAGATAGGAGGGGAAGAATGGCGCATAAGCGTGTGGCCGTAGAGCAAAGGAGGATGCTAGATCTTCTCTTTATTTTCCATGTATATCTACAGTACAATCCTGGAGGTAATACTGGAGGAGGGGGAGGGGAGAGGCCTGCTTTAATAGAATCTTTTTTTCTTCACAGGGCATTAGTTGCAAATTAGGTCTGTAAGAGGACAAATCACCCCTGATCATTTTCCGGTCTTTGTCGTTCGTGTCGTCAGTTATTATGCTATTATTACACGCCGATAATGAGACGTTAGCAAAGGAAGAAGCTTCAAACAGAGCCCTCCAGTAGCTTGAAAGGGCAGTCTGCATATCAGTAGCACGCTGCCGCAGGGAACAGTTAACTTGTTGGATGGTAATTAACCTGCAGAACATCTTCACCAACTCTGCACAATCGGCGTAGAAAAACAACCCCGAGGCATGAAAGGCTCCTATGTTGAACATGTCAAGGGAGGCACACACAATACAATGACTGATCACATATCTGCTCGGATACTTTTACTTTCTGTTTGATGTTCCTCAGATGATCACATGGTGGAAGGACTGGTTGGCATCCAACTTTTAGTCTTCAAAAGCCAAATTTCAATACACCCTTGGACCGGTCTTCTCTTATCTTTCATCAATACTAACTCAGTTGTTTGTTGAGTCAAGCCACCATTGAGTCATACATATGTAAAGGTTCCATTGCCAGAGCTTACTGCCCTAATATCCTGTTTTAAGACCATGGGCCGCTCTACTTTCGGGTTGAGCAGAACCACCGGTCATGTAACTGCCTCTGGGTAGTTTTGTTTTTGTATGTGGTGAGGCAACTACAGTTGTGTCCAAAATTATTCAACCCCCA